TTCACCATAGCTCTAGAAAATTAGTAAATTGTCATTAACGTCAGGATTATACTTTATAAAATAAACATCGTTGATCCTGTTTTATGTGTATACATATATACACACACAGACACACTCGCGAACACACAGCCACACGCGCACACACACACACACGCGCGCGCGAACACGCACACACACAGACGCGCGCACACGCATACGAACACACACGCGCGCACACGAACACACACGCGCGCACACGCACACACACGCGCACACACAATGTCCGCAACAATATTTCTCTCATTTCCGAGAAGACAGTGTCGTTACAAAATATACAAATAAACGTAAACCTAAGATTTTCGTTTTTGCTTACCCGTTACTTTCTGTCATTTAGCAGATGTGTCTCTCTTTGCGCTTGTGCCTTTTCTTCTTGGCTTCGGTATGTAACAATAAGCGGATGCTCAGCTCCTTTTTCAACGAAGTGCTGCCATCTGCAGCCATTTTGCCGCTGTTAGATCGTAGCGCTGAAAGACTTGCCGCAAAAACGAATCTAAACTCATCAGTTCCATTACTAAGACGATTTTCCCCATCACACGCCTCTTATCCATGTTTTAGCACTACGACGTAAAATGACTACTAGAAGTTTTGGAATGGCTTCAGCAATAATAATCCGCAAATCGGAAATGTTCAGGCTCGCTATTCCTAATAATGCCGTTATTGTCGTGTTAGGTTAATCCCTTTTTTCCTCTAAGATCATGTCGTCGCCTTCCGAGCGTGATCTGGCGTTGATAAAGAAAAACCGATTTGCGTACAGCAATTAATTTTTGCTAGTCCTGATACCGGTAGACGAGGAATTCTTCTCTTCGTCCAGTCTCTCGTCCTGTTCCGTACCGTGCGTCCTTTTCCGCTTTGCGATGCAAGTAGGCAATATAAATGGGCCGCTGGCGGGGAAACAATATCATGGCCGCGCGTGCAGGACCTCTTTGTCTGTCGGTGTGTTTTCTCGACAGAGGCCTCTCGACGGGGCAAAGGGGTTTATCGGCATTTGCGATTTCAGTTTAGAAGGATCTCAGCCATCATAGTAGCCTGCCAAGCTCCTGTTATCCTAACTAATCTGACATAAAAAGAATGCTTCGGTGGTTACAACGGCGGTTACAACGGCAGTGGGGAAATTGCTCAGTGCCTAAACCTCTGCCGAGCTAGGTTGTCTCGCTAAGGTAGGAGCTGCCTAATTCAGTAGCTGCTTTCAGCGTTTCCTTTCGTCTTCCTCTCTTGACTCAGTTCTTCCATCCTAGCTCAAATAGCTAGACACTCTCATGTATGTAGTGCAGAAAGCGGCCCCGCTAGCATTACACCTAGAAATGGAACAGCACCTTAGTTCTTTTTTTGGAGGCTGGAGAAGAGGAAGGAAATTTGAAGTAATGGAGATCTAGGTAGGCCTTCCGTATATGAGAAAGTGTTAGCGTGCCAGCAGAGCCCGTCACCATTGATACAAAGCTTTGCTGTTTGGACTTCCCCCAGCCACCCTTAACTTCGGCAGAGGTAAGGGCAGACACATTCCATTGTTAGTCGTAGCAAGCCTGAGGGGATCGTTACTTATTTCTAACCTCCCCTACGTAAAGCCGACGTCCCCACACTACCGGCAGTGCTAGAGCGCTTCTAGTCAGACCTTTTTCGCTTCGAGCCCTTCATGTACATGGGTGCCACCAAAAGAATATACTTCCTAATACCATTTCTATTATAGGATAGAAATACGAACGGGTAGTGGCGATGGCAGACGTGAGTCGCTGAAAACACTTAATGTGCACATTCACTCTCACATAGGTAACCCGAATTTTGATTCCTACAGGGAGCAGCAACAAGGAAATGTTTGGGGAAATGGTTGACTGAATACTGCACCGCGCTTTTATGGAGATTCAACTAGATTTAAATAAGGAAGCTGTTTGAGTGGACGAAAATGAGTGTATTAAACTCAGGTTTGTTGGTGTGAGAAGGTTGAGGGGCCTCAAGGAAAGTGACGGAAGAATATAGCATTGTAGCGACGCTAAATCTAGATCTGACAAGGCGCTTTTGGTTAATACCCCGACGTAAGATATCGTAGCCAGCAGCCCACCTCGTCCTCCGCACTCGTTGCGTATGCTGCTGCTGTTGCCACAAGATATTGAGAGAGTATTGAGGTATTGCAAGAAGGGAAAGGAGAATTGTGGCGTGGTCGCAAAATGATTTCAGCCTCAAAGTCCGAAAGACAACGAATAATCATAGCCCGACCAGTGGTAATAGGTTTCGCACACTTATACAGTGGATCAGTTAGTCTTCGTCTTTGTTATCCTTCTTTGCACAATTTCAAGCCACGCAAAAGCTCTTACTTGGCAACTAACGGAATGACGCTGTTTTCAAGTATGTGCGCGTAATTTTCAATATAGAATGAGTAGGTGGGCGTTCGGTATTATTTGTAATTGCGCAGCAATGCTAGGCTGCTGCATAGTTTCCTGTCTCCATGCAGCATTGGCCCATCAGCTGGCTGTGGCCATTGTCGCCGATCTCCAGCTACCGATGTCGTTGTTTTAAACTAATCGTGGCGGGTGGCAGCGAGGCGGCAGCAAAGTACCGATGGCAGTGCCGGTAACGGTGGTTGCGGGCGTACTTGGTCGTTCACGTATACGCACTTGCCGTAGGTATAATATAGGCAGTGTTGTCGTCGTCGCTTTCATTCGGCGAGTCGTTCGTTCTTCTGTTTGTTCGAGTTGATGGTAAGCCCCGCGGGATTTCTCTCGGTCTATTATGTTCTTCACTTTTTTTCTCTTTTTCCCGCCACCCCTAGATCTGCCGACAACGAGATAAGGTTGACTAGACTTCAATAGAACATGGGTATGCTCTTCAGCGTCCTCCGCGAGGTAGCGACGGCTAAATCCAAAACGCATGCACGCACGTATGCACCGGCGAATACATCGAACGTTAGTTAACGTTCAATCTAGTCAATGCAGGCACTAATTATGCCCTTGTACACAGGATACTCAGAGCACAAAGACACTTAATGCCATCCTGTTTAGCGAAAACAGTGTGGGCTCCGCAACATTGTACAGCTCAAACAAAGTCTCGCCGTTAAGATAGGAACAACTGTTGAATATAGGAGGAAAGGTCTTTGGAGACTCCTGCAAGTCACATTTCAGAGCGTTTGGGAAGCGGATAGCAGAGAGGGTGCTCAACGCCTAAGTACAATGTGCCTGCGAAAATTCGCTCCGCTCGCGGCAGGCGATTCGATACACTGACTGCGTCCTCTGTTGGTAGCTGCTGTCTGGATATTCAGATGCCCATGCGAGTGTACTGAAACTTGCTTGTGTTTGCGGGGGTCATTGCCTTGTTAGTTATACAGGTAAAGAATGATGGGACGTTTTGGGGTGGGGACAGCTCGGTGAGTCCCCTTGGATGCTAAACTGGGAAAGATAGAGGGAGGGTGACGGCAGCAGCCTGCAGTCTGCTGTTCCCCATTTTTTGGTTTTGGATCCTATTCTCTGCATTTTTTTTCCTTTCTGTTCAGTGGGTTGCGATCCGGCTGATAAAGACGGTCAGCGGCAGAAATCTGTGGCAGATTATAAAATATGTCGCTGGTTTCTGCAACGGCTGTCCGTTGTTCCTAATCTAAAAACCTCATCTAAGCAAAGTTAACTTCAAGGTCAGTGAATATAACAAATCGGGCGTCGGGTGGGGCCAGGACCTACCTAAAACGCGGCACAAAGGGACTAACGAACGCTAGTATCTTCTACCAACGAGGGCCTGTTTTCTTCCGTAACTACTGTCTAGAGGTTTCAACATGCTTTCCTGTATGTCAGATGAACAAAGTACTCCCGGCCATTAGATTGATTTGTCTCTAAAACTCAGCACATAGCTCTCACACGAAAGTAAGAACTGGCAGCATGGCCTGAACAGGACTGTGTTCCTAAGGCCGTTCTATAGGACATGACAGCACTCACGTCTCTTTAGCCTTTTTGCTTAGTTTATCCATCTTACACATGAGCTGTTACGTCTTTAGGTTTTAAAGCTTTGCGCTTTAACGCTGCGCACACACGAGTGTCCACTGCTCCTGTCTAGTTTTTCAGCGATCTTCTTTTCCGCGTAGACGCCTTAGGTGACGAAAGTGTGCGTTTTGTCGTTGATTTGCAATCGAGTGGGAACAAGCGACGGCCGTCTTTTCGAATCGAGGTTGATCGCTTCTGAATGCGTCGCGTACGTTGAGAGAGAGGGTTGCTGTTAAGGTATGATTTGTCGAGATACGTCCTAGTGTTACCAGTACTCAACTTAGTTACTGATATAAGCAAAGACAAATAGCGTTTTGCAATTTGTCTATTTCGTTCGGTGTTGCACAGCGGTCGCGCGTGAACAGATGCGATCCATTCTAATGACAAGAGCACCAAGAAACCATTGCTAGCAAGCGAGATATATAACGCATGTTAGCTAGTTACTATCATCGACGTTAGCAGAAAGTATACGTCGATGTAGTTCAGACATACATGTAATATTAATTTTACAACAGATACAACAGACTAAGCTAATATACAGTGCCATAAAATTTATTTGCCTGCCGTAATGGGTGGACAAGACAACAATTCAAGCTTATTTCCAGTGCGGTGCAAATATACAAAGCAATGGCATGCTGCATGATTTATATATTTGCACCGTAACAGATCGAGGGAGCCAAGAATTGTAGATCATCCGTGTGATACGCCGACGCGGTGTTGACACGATGTCAGATTATATAACCAGCATGATTTATGATAGACTTCGCCTTTGACATAATAACGCAAACAAGGATACTTTGGACGCCCTTAAGGAAGCCGCTCTAGCTCTACAAACGCAAGCCGCCGTAATAGCGAGAAAAGAAACCATGCATCATCGTCTCTTTAGTGTCAGCAATGCAAAATCGCTTGTGTCCTATCATATGGACATTGTTTGTGTTTTGATAATTATTGTGGTCTATTCCCCTTTCGATTAACATGCATATATGCGTATCTGACCATTTTCAGGTGGGTGATCTCGGCGGAATGCAACAACAGCTCCAGTTGGCTGCAGCCCCTGGTGGGTTCTTCGCGGGAGCACCTGGAGCTGGCGGCGGACCCACAGTGGCTCCGCAGCCGCCTCACGCCAAGAAGGACGCCCTGGACGCCCCCAAAGCAGCCGCTGTAGCTCTACAAAACCAAGCCGCCGTGGTGGCTGCGGCGCAGGCCGCACAGGCCGTGCAGGCCGCCCAAGTTGCCAGCAGTCCACTGGCGAATGGTCAACATCCACCCCCATTGCCGATGAGCCAACAGCAGCAGCAACAACAACAACAGCAGCAGCAGCAATCACAGCAACCACAGCCTCAGTCCCAACCTCCCCAGCAAAACGGAAATGCACCCACACAGCAGGTAGGTGCAGCATTACGGCATCTGCATCATACTTCCCATTAGATTTCCCCTAGTAACTGCTATCCCATATATAGTGTATTAGAGGGACGTTTTTGGAGAAACGAAGAGGAGAAGGGGACAAACTTCAACTATTCGATTAAGCTACTGTGCATATATATGGTGATTTGGGCGATTGTTTGTACGAACCTATTCAATACTTACCAGGCCATCGAACCTATATTGTGCGTAATTTATGATTTTAACAAATATTTGGACTTTTGGACTCGGTTATTGCCTTCCGTAACCTAAAGCTGGTGACTCGAAACATCATTAATGTTCTGTGCTAGCGTCAAGTCGTCGAAGAACAGCATGCGATTATAGGCAATTTAGGTGATTTGTTCTTTCAGATGTTGGCTTGACAGGAAATGCTTATTTTTTTTTTTGAGAGTAGAATAAATATGGCTCTTTGACGGACGTTTTTACTTTAGGTCCAATAATACACATGTGGGGTTCTGTGATTGAATTCAATCAATCTGATACCAATGATGTCTTATCTGTTATGAAGAGGACCGAAATAATAGCTCTCAAGGTGATGGAGTGCAAGACTTGAATCATATTGATATAAAGCAGTGCGCAAAACGTTCTTGAATGGTTACATGCAGGACAAGGATATACTTTTGATGACTGATGGTTGATATCCTGTCAAACGATCGATCACGTCACAGTCATTGTCACTTCATCGTACCGGCAGAAATAAACGTAGGCTTATAAGCGGGTAAGAAGTCAGTGGCTAAAAGAGTATATTCTTCTAATTGTGAGAAAATCAAGTTCACAGTCCTCTTTTATCCTGAAACAACGTACTTTCTCACTGTCTCATTAAATGCAAACATTTTCGAAACCTATTGAACATCTATGATATACAGTGACAGTATCCACAGTTGGAACGCTGTGTGAGGTCGTCTCTGACCGTTATAATTAAAAAGGAAAGAGCAAGGAACTTATTTAATTGGAAACTTCATCTGCAATTACACCCAGCCACGGTGATACATCGAAAAAGGAATGATACGATGAAAAATTCTGCTAAAAGCGCATTTGATTACTTACGCCTGTGAATACAAAAGCAACCCGATTCGTTCTTTGATGGTTATACGTTGCTGTCTCAGGTTAAATAGCGGTACTTCAATCCAAAGTAGCCATTTTCGATAATCGTTTTACTATTGAACATTGAATAAACATCCCGCGAACCGTTAGACAGTATGGTACCGCTAAAAAGCATCTGAAATTTTTTTCGTCGACGAAAAATTCTTGTATTTGTCAGCTATTGTAGTTTCGATTTGTTGCTAAATAGGTTTACGGAAAGTCATCGCGTTCATAGCAACAAAGAGTAATAAAAGGAAAGTATCGCATCGATAGTCTATATATACTTATTTGAGATACGGTCGCTACGAAGTCGTGCCATTTAATCACATTAGTAATCGAATTAATCAAGGTTAGTTATGTCTATTATTACAGGCTTTTTTTTAAATATGTGAAGTCTATTCATAGTAGATCAACGAAATAGGAAAAAGGAACCCTACGTACAGAATCATTGAGCACTTGTTAGATCAGATTCATCAATCGTTCCTTTCAAAACTGAGCAAGTTCCCTTCCGTTCGGCGGCTGTAGCACTGAACTGAAGGGTCGGTATTTTGCTACTCGCTGGTTCGTAGTACTGTAGTCGTAATCGTAATAGTAATCACGCGGTCCTTTACCGTCTTGTTAGTGTCTCGTGTGGCCTTCAGGGGACGATTAATATTGGGCCGGTTAACGTTCTGTATCTATCCTTGCTTCTTCTGCCAGTTGTTGTGCGAGCAATGATGATTAATTCATCCATCGTAATAATCCCTTGGCACGGTAAGTCAATGGCCACAATGATTAGTAATGAACCATAACTGAGCAGAAATCGGAAGCCAAGCTCGAGTGAGATGGCGGGCAAATTTGGCTAGCTTGATGCAGCTGTCTGCTTTGAGTGAGCATTTTTCTTTTCTGCAATGAAACTATTTGCCATTGTTATTGCTAAGAATATTATTTCTGAGATGATACTTTGCTTGCTGTTGTTATGTCCGAATTGTACGCTAATGGTGCCATTTGTGTGGCACTAGTGATAGAACGCCAACAAGTGGTAAATAACGTTATCGTGCAAGTGTTATTTTGGCGGTCACCGGCATTAGTGTTGGCTTGAGCGTCTTTTTCGTCTGCATCGCCAGAAGCAACAAAATAACAGTAAAAAGTTGGTAATCAAACACGAAACGTTAGTTATCATACAATTATAAGCATTAGGCGGTGTCGCTTATTTACGTCGTGCCGGTTGCGATGCCATCGCATTATTCATTTTCGGCATCATTACGCGGTCAGCAGACAGTTGCTGTGAAATGGTTGATGATAAAAGACATCAATGATAAGCGATGACGATGATTCAGATGGGCAAAATAAGGCGACGAGGCCAGAGCGGACGGTATTAAGTGTTTGTTTCTTTTATTTTCATGACGCGACAGCCTGTCGTCTTATGATTTTTGGCTAAACAAGTCCCTTCGATCGAAGTCCACCGACAATGTAGCACCGTAAATGACTATGGAATAAAAACACTTCTTGAATAAGAAAAGTCCGATCGCAATCATTCGTGATGATCACAACGTAGTCGGTGAACAATAAACACATATAAACTTACGGCACCAATAACCTATGACGAGCAATTAGTTCGTCGGGTGACATGCGCGCAATATTTTTTCTTAGATATTTTTAGATGCTCATAGAACTGCACTGATTAATTAATAATATTGCATTGAACAGGTAAAACAAAGACATGGAAGCAGCGAATATCAACAATTGATTTAGTCGTGTTGCATGACAATGCATACAACGTAAAGAAGTTAGAAGTTCGATATTATCCTCTGTTCGGGCTTAAAGAAGGTGTGAGAAGGTTGCAAGGGGAGGACCAGAAGTTCAGCAAAAATACTATTCTAGCTTATGACGCAACGAAGATGGCAAACATTACGCCATGGAAAAGCTCGCAGGGTTCCCTACTGAAGTCATTGTTACAGGTTTTGCGAAAAACGCCTCCGTTAGCCGACAACAGTTTTTACTATGCTTGTAAATGCAGTAATCAGTATAGTGCAGCTGGTGTATTTCACGAAGCTATAGCGTAAGCTGGAATTAATTTTTACAGCCACTAAATTACCTTGCAGTAAAATTCCCTGTGCAGTAAGACTCGCATAATAGCATAATTAGCCTTGTGGAAGTGTGTACATTTATAAAAAAAAAAAAATTATGGATGATAATTGGAATAAAAGATTTATTGAACCTGTACAATGTAGTCGACGACTAACTGTACTGCAGTCAGCGTAGCCAATCATTCCACCTCGTAATATATTAAATGGCCTTTCAGCCAATTTGAGTCTATGAATTAGAACTGCGCGTATTTCATTAGTGCAGTGCTGGTCGTATCTGAACTTTATCCTGGGGATAGTTCTTTGACACTAGTTAAATTGCTCAACGTATAAATAATATTGTGTCCTCTGACCTTTTTCATTATCCTAAATCTAGCTACTCTGCTCGGTCTATTCCGGTCGAACCCTAGACCTCGGAAACCAAACGCGCTGGGTATTTGTCATCCATCACTCCTTAACAATAAGTGATGGCCACCCGGCCCACAGAGAACGCGAATTTTAGATAAAAAAGAAGGGGCAAATAGAAAGAGAGTAGTCTGCTAATCTTGCTACAGTGTTGTGTCTTTTTCAAAGATCAGATACGTTTTGATTCATGTGCAGCTGTATGTATAGTAGTTCTGGCAAAGACAGCCATAGTGTATCGATCAGTTCCAATCGACTCGCATTCACCTACAAGATCGTACAAAACATAGAATCCCTCTTTGGCTTTTAACAACACTGATAATAATATTAACGAAAACAACGAAAAAGTTGCTGGATGATGAAATTGTTGCGACGCAGATAAATTTGGCGGCGCTGTCAGATCATGCGATCATTTTTTCCTTGATGTGTTATATCAATCACACTTTATGCGTTCAGACTGAGAGTTCTATGGAATTACAAATACACAAAAGTTGATCATGTACCTGAGGCGCCCGCCTTAGGCCGTCGCAAACGTCAAACGTTAATCACTGCTGGCGCTAGTTGCAGTGCATTTGGGTAACAGGTCAACGACATTCCCTGCAACAAGCCGATCCCCATAATAAGTACGCCCCATTCACATCAGTATCTATGCGTATCTGTTGGAAGAGAAGAACGTTGAAACGTAGAGGATATCAAGGGAGTAAAGTTCCCGCAGCGACTCTTGCCAACTCGCCTAACCAAAAAACGGGAGATTTCATAATTTTCCTGTTCCTGGGCAACGATCAAAAGTTGACAATAATCAGTATGCACATCTAAGCATGAAGACATGAGCTCGTTCTGGACCCCATGGTGTCCACTACCGTTTCAGAATTCGGGTTGGGCATAGAAGAGGTAGGTTGCACAGTAACTCCATCTATTTCTATAATTTCCTCCTTAATTAGCTCCTTACTGTCTTCATCCTGTTTCGATCTGTTTCTTCCTTTCTTTCCCGGATCTGCCGGTAGCGAGAGATCCCTGTTCCGACCTTCCATAATATCTAAAGGTAATATCTAAAGAAAGATATCTATGGGTGATGGTCCACCAAATTGATAATTGTAAAGGACGAGAGGCAGGGCATAGTTTGTAGACTAGCGCGGCCATGCTAGTTACTGCAACTACTACACCTATATATATATATATATATATATGCGATAAGGATGCAAAACAGCTAAAACCAGTGACGAATGATGATTTTTTCCCACGAACTGCAAGCGGGAGTATCTTTTAATTGTATGACAGGCATCTGTGCAACTGGCATTGAGGTTACTAGTTACCATTACTAATGGTGACTAAACATGTTCTCAATTCTAACATTGTGCGTCGTCTGTAGCGTTATCATGTTATAATATGTAAAATGTGTCTACTTATTAGGTGCTGGCTCTGCTTGGTCCACTAAATCATCAGCAGAAATGTTTACCATTTCATAGCATGTGGATGGTTTTGCCTGAACGACGTTGTATTATGTCACATATAAATGTGGTATGGGTCTAGTGCTCCGTTTAGTCCTCCGCTCCATGAGTCACACAGGCAGCAGGACGTCTTGCCGCCAAAATAGGTAACCAGCAGCTGACGTTGTTGTATGACCATTGCCATTATACCGTCCACCAAGCCGTCGTCTACTTGTGGCAAGAGGGGAAGGTTTGAGAGGAGAATATTTCTAGGAAAGGTCGCTCTGGCGATTCGACTTTGGTAAGTGGAAGAGGGCTTAGAAAGGGACCGAGGGTTCGAGGAAGGGGGTTCGAGGAAAGAGAAAAGTAGAGAGCGAGCGGAATTTTGGTGCCGGCGGAGGGTATGACTCCATGGGGCCTGGAGCTGAGGGAAAGAGAGATTCCGGCGGACTCGTCTGCCTCTCCCCGAATTACGGTGCCGGTCTGTACTGCTGCGTTTGCCGGAGGGTGGTGCGGCGCCAGTAAAAGGCGGAGAAGTAAAAGAACTCGCAAAGAAAGACGATCGTAATAGTTGTACTGTATGGCCGTCCATGTTTCAGTAGGAGGCACTGGGACTGGAAGGAAGCAACGGTCCGATCATTCGACTTCTACTACTACTGCTCTTGTCGCTTAACAAAAACAGACCTTCGTCTTCAATGATGCCTGGGTCCGTTTTGTTGGATGCTGAGCTTCTCTAATTTCTTTTGTCACCTTCTCGAGGACAATAGAGGACGGGCAGCTGATCATTTGCCGCTTGCTGCTTAGGGCATACGCCTACGCACTCTCTTCCGTCCCAGGACGATGCTAACATCAGCAGTATAAGAAAAGCCCTAGTTCGCACTCCACGTGGCGATGATAATATGAATGGGAAACCTGAGCTGCAGCAGTTGTAACATTCTCGTAGAAGTAACCAGAAGAATCATGGCACTAAAGAACTCTGAGAAGTGCAGAAGTTCGTTTTGCAGCAGCTTTCGTATACATATATATATGAAAGATAGAACAAGAGTAACTCTATAAGCAATAAGCAACCGAATGAACAACTGGTTAAAATCATACGAAAATTCAGAGGATTGAAATTTATTATAAATATTTTTTCATGATCAGCTTAGTTTTTTTTTGGTTACTCTACTGTATTTCAGTTTTCTTTCTGCATGCAGATGTCCGTGCGCAGTGAATGGAAATGAAGTTTATAGTGACTTGTCAGTCCTCTTGTACCAGCTGCCACTGCGTTTAGACGGCCAGTTCCAATACAGATACCAGTTTTCTAGCTTTCATGTACTAGTTTCACTTTGTAGATAGAATCCTAGGATCGGCTCTCATAAATAGCTTTAGCTAAATTATTTGTTCCAACGTCTTTTTTTTTTCGAAATAAGCGGGGTATCCGAGAAAACGAACGAATATGCCAAACGCCAGTCGCCTGAGATACAGGGGCAAGTCGTGAGTTCGCTGCCTTCAGCGAACTTTTTTCAGTTGACTCGTCAGTTAACAAATATCGCAATCATCGCCGAAACGAGACGTTTTATGTTATCATGGATATATATATATATATATATATATATATATATATATAGTATAATGTAATCAGAAAAGACACACAGCTTCCTACTTGACGTGGATGTCAAACAGTAATTAGACACCGTTATTATAAAGTATTACCGTTTTAGGTATATAAGATATTAATGATAATTGAAATAATAAATTTGTCAGACGCCTTGTTTGCAAAAAAAACGCAGCAGCGCAGGTCGAAATCTGGGGATGAAGACTAATTTATTACTTTCTTGTCTGGTTTAGTGTTATATCGACAGTAATACTATCTATGGAATGACCGTTATAAACCATCACCTTCTGTACCTTTGATGTGTTATAATCTCAAAATTGAGCATTATTGTACAGCATGTTGTGAACGCAATGCAGGCGTTCGACGTCTACTTATATGCGGGTGCTATTCCTAACACGCTTCTTTTTGACAGGCTCCTTATAAAGAGCTGGCGTCATCTACGTAGAAGATGAGTAGAACGGACCCCATGGCCGTTGGGTTCGCATTGTGATGTCGTATTGATTCGCTAACGAAGGAACAAGGGCTTCGAATAAACTATGATGGTTAATAAGCATGTCTTAGGAGTCTACTTGTCAGTGCAGTAAGTGACGAAATAGAGGGGTCCGGGCTGTCGAAAGTTCGTGGGGATAGGGCTTACCTTCTTTTTGGTGGCATGCTGTTTGAGGTGGCATACAGCTAATGGTCAGCGTCGGCTGTTGTCCAGCCACTAACGTTGATCTGAATTTGGGCTATTCCTTTGGTTGCCTAAACGCTAAAAAATACGAGCCGGTTAAATGGGTGGCATGGGACTAGAAGGATAATGTCCTCACTTTTGCCGATTGTTGGATAGACGCGGCGGGTTTAAATTGGGACGGGAAAACAGAATTGAACGAAGAGTAGGTTTTTTTCGTTGCGATCTTTTATGGTGAAGTGCAATAGGAAAGTATGAACAGTAATAATAACGATTTAAGGGAAGTATACTCGAATCGACAATGATGCATGGAAGTTGTGTTATCTCATAGTAGCCTACCTTCAGGATTTATTCGTTATCAACGTACGATAGCATTAAGGAGAAGTTCACTTGCTGCAATCTCGTGCCACCTATGATAGACTATGTTTAACTGTATCTTCTGTTTTCGTAACATTTACGAGCCAAACGTCATTGAAACTAAATGGCATCATTGTCAGTAAAATTCAGTTCACTTTTCCGCAAAAGTCGAGGTTACGTTTATGGATCGCGTAGAGAGGCTCAGCATATCCCAAGTAAGATATGGAGCCGGCCTACTTTGACACAGTTTGACCCACCAGTACAAATCTATAGTATAATTGATTATTGAAAACGTTGTTGTCATTGGTGAACGATAAGTACGATTTGGCTGTTAGATGTGTTCTGTAGTTATGATGCGGTGCTACCAGCTGGTGAATCGAAAGGATGCATTTCTTATGAGCAACCATTATCACGACTTAATCACGTCGCTGTAGTCATCGGTGATTTTCGATTTTCAATAGAAAGAGTGAGATAACTACAGTTATCTTCATAGGATAACGAATTAAGCCGAGTCCGTTCGTAGAAGTTTTCGCTGAGTGACCATGACGAAAAGCTTGGAAACATTGGGTATCGAGAACGGCAGCGAACCCGATCAGAAGGGATACCGCATACTCAAAGGAGATTGCGGCTGCTGAAAGGGCATTTTATTTTTATTTCGTATCTTCCTCTGTTCATATCTTGTCGACACACGTTACGCTGAACGCCGGAGATACACTCCATATTGGAGGTGCTTTTTCTACACCCGTTTGGCTGCACGTCAGCTACCTCTCTCTTGCCTTCTCTCGCTTTCGTTTCGCTTCACGGTTTCATTATAATCGTTGCCACATCGTTATTCTTCGTCCGCTCGATGACTATTTCATATTCTTGAAGCAGGTACCTGCCCATTTCGTTTGTCGTTCCGGTGCTATGCCACCCCGAAACCCCACAGCTTCTGTTTCTATCTCAGATCAGCTGGCATAAGTGGAGTTGAATAACGAGAAAATATGCGCAGGCAAGTGAGCCAGCTTGCCGACGAAGTGGCAAGCACTAGCTCAGGGCTCCGGGGTACCAACAAAGAAACCGTCGATACTGTAGTTGCAATTGCACGGAAAAAACGCAGAAGGAAGGCAAGACGGGACAAAAAAAGAATGCTCACTCTGTGAAAGGCCTGTAATATGACAACGAATACCGGAAAAAGCGTAGACGGAACAAACAGAAGAAGCTTGTTTCTTCTTTTCTCTTGTCCATGACTAGTTGCAAGCAGCTTTATAAGCATCAATTTGCACGACTTTTAGCCTCTCTACTCTTGTTTTGATTGATTCCTTCTTTTCGCGCCCCTCTCTCACCGTCTTCGTTGTTTTTTCCAAAGATTTTGGAACAACATCTATTTCAAGCCTCCGCCAAGATTTTTTCTCCTGTTTCTGCGTTTAGTGTTCTTAATCGCCGTATTGTGCGGGTTTTTCGCCCGTCGTTGAAGTTGTGCGTGACAAATAGAACACAAGAGCAAAGAAGCGTCATTTGACTACCAGACCTGTTGGGGTCGAGGTACCTCTAAGACCTGTGCCTGACAATACGAGTGTGCTGTCCTACAAAATACATTATATTGTGGCGCACTTGGAGTATTACGTATGTCGAGGACGTCTGAATTTTCTTAACCGCATTCTATAATAAATTAGATATAGCCCACTGACCAAGTCTGTAATGACTTAGTAGTCGTTATGGCTTAACGTTGTACAGCGTCATGTGCTATCAGTTTGTATTTATTGTTTACCCGTTCATCGTTTTTATTACTACTACTATGAAAATAGGCACGCGTTGTGTACGGGAAACCTGATCGAGGGCGACCTTTGTCTCACGATTATTTCTGTTTTTGCACTGAGTTGTCTTTTTTATTACATTGCAGTTGTTGTTGGTTTGCTCATACGTCATTTCAGGACAAGACCCTAACAAGCCCGCCTCCTCCTCCGTCGGGTGGCGAAGCGGAGCAGTCAGTCGTGGACGCCAGCGTAGCGACGACCTCGGAAACGCTGACGGAGAAATCGTCCGCTTTGACGCCCGTAACTGCGCCCGTCGCAGTTGCCACAGCACCCCCAGCCGCACCAGTAGCACCGCCAGCTGCCTCAGTCCCAACCACGAAGGACGTGCCCAAGCGTTTGCACGTGTCCAATATACCCTTTAGATACCGTGAGCCCGACCTCCGCAATCTTTTTGGGGTAAGTAATATAAAAAAACGTCGTATAATGGCGATGATAATAGTAGCCATTCTAATCATCTGTGATGTTATTGCCACATTAGTATTACAGTAAAGACGAAAACATTACACTATTGACAGTTGTCTTAGATTAACCATAAACCATAACGATTTGTCGACCAATGTTTTTCTTATAGAGTCTCAATATAAAACAAAATGATACTATGTTTTCGTAATGATCGTAGCGAAACTGCATTTAGGTGTTGGGTACTTCTTGCACGTCCTACCAGTATCGTACATACGTACACCATAGATATTGCTTAATTCTTTTAGACTTCTTTTTTTCGTTTGTCATAGGCCTCTGCCGCACTGTGTCGAATACTCCGATTTCGTACATAACAAACTGATAAGTTTTTGTCGTTGCTTTTGTTTGTGTTGTCTTTTTCATATTTCATGCTCGTGTTGACATCGTATAATTGCAGGAATTCGGGCCGATACTCGATGTCGAGATTATCTTTAACGAGCGAGGCTCCAAGGTAAGAAGCAAAAACGAGGAGCGCGGTAAAAGCATTTCCCCACACTTCACACGCCGAAATGCCCCCTTATGCCCTTCACGCCTTTTTTTCCGTACCCATTCACTCTTAAGCTCCGAAGCCTACCGGTTTTCCCTCGAATCAGCCGGCCATACATCGGAGAACCCAGCCACGCCACGTCGGCTAACGTAGAGTAACCCCTGGTGGGGGTTGGCCAGTGAAGACGCTACTGTTAACGCCTTTGCTTGCCAAGTGACCCTAAACGATGCCAAATCCTATTTCCAAGTCCATGGCTAAAAGTTGTAAAAGATGAATTTTAACTGCATAGAAGTTAAGGGAGGAGACGAAGGTAGAGCAAAACATTGATACAGAGGGATATAGAAGAATAGACATCCCAGGGGTGAAGGGGGAGTTATGAGCTAAAAGTTTTGGGCTCCCGTTGCAGGTTATCCACTGAAGATATGAGAAGGGTTGGTTGCCGCAGATCGAGTAATGACTTGATAGGAGGACCTATCGAATTTGTCAAGTTTTTGCACAGCGGAAATTGACTTTGGCAATCGGCGCGAATCCAAAAGTTGCCAACTCAAGTAGTTTCTCTTGAAGAGCAAGGAGAGCATGGCTGAGCGAGCGAACACAAACACGCATATAAACACATTCGGATGTAATCACTCGGCTTCTTTAAGGGGAAGGGCACGTGGAGACCTATATATACATGTTGGGCGAAAGCACACGGCTTACTGCTCTTTGCTTATGTGTTTATTCTTTTCGCCGTCTTCTGATGCTTGAATAAGACAGCATTGCTATTACTAAACGCTGAATAATGAATGAAGTGTGAATTTTGTGCAATAAGGACACATGCTGCATCTATTATCTCATTCTCATCTCACGTCTTACCGCACGCTTGCCTTTTTTGTGTAGAATTTTGCAATTACGTCGTTCATGCTTTGCCACTATGGGGCCTAAGGCAAGTTTACGCAATGTATCGTTATGAAAAGCAAGCTATTGGATAAATCGTTTCCAATTACGAAAAGTTAAACAAACACGTTACCGCATAACAACTTGAATGAATGAACCAAAATGAAGGGTCCGTCCCATTAATTAGTATGTTTGTCGTGCACTTTCAACGTCTGTTAAGTTAGTACATAATTAGATGAAAAAACAAATGCCGTCTTATTATCGTTCTAATGTCTTCTCCTTAATTAACGACTGAACCGTCAATGCTGTAGCTTTTTTACATTGTACTAAATACAATAGCTCGCACAATGGATCTTAATTTTCGCTAAACGGAAAGTACACTTATTGCTTTATCTTGCTGTTGTTTTTATCTAATTAATATTTTGCATCCATTGCAGGGCTTCGGCTTTGTGACGTTCGCGTCTTCTACGGACGCGGATCGCGCTCGCGAGAAGCTCAACGGCACTCAGGTCGAGGGCCGCACTATAGAGGTTGGTATCTTCTTGGCACTTCCTTTTTCCCGCCCGTTCCCAGGCACCCGTCTCCAACAATCACCCGCCCGACGATCCGATCACTATAGTAGCAGCTGATCACTGATTAACTGACTGATCCGATCTGTTTCTGGTCAGTCGGTTAATCTCTCGGTCTGTCGATTGGCTGTCTGTCGATGATGTCACTTGATCGGTGCTCAAACGATCAACTGCATCGGGTGCGCCGTGGTGGTGACGGACATTATTTGATTGATGACTGATGCTGGTTATTAATGGTTAATGAATGATGATAGTCATGATGAGATGATTGTTGATTGACGATGAGATTGATTTTTGTTGACTGACAATTTTGACTGACTGGCGATGCGCGGACTGACCGATAATGATATCTTGATGACGGTGATTGATGGCTGACTGAACCATGATAATGCTGACTGGTAATACTCGTAGATGATTGGCAATGATGATTGATGCTGTCCATGACTTCGTCGCTTGATTGAGATATCGTTATCTATCTAACCGATTGGTGATCGAAACAAACTCTGTTCCTACTACTGACTTACCTTTACGACTCATGACCCCCTGTATCGTTCTAATGTTACGTTGTACGTTGTATTCACTGTTACACTTATTACTAATTACTGTTGCTATTACTAATACGGCTATTAACTTTAACTATTAACTTCCATCTGTCATTTCTCTACACCTCTAATCTTGACTTGGTTAAGCAGCGGACAGTATATCGAACAAATCGATGGGTGACCACTTCCTAGATTTTAGTGCGATTCTAAAAATCGGTCGGTCAGTGAATGCACTCGAACCAAGTTCATAGTTGTTTCATCGGTTGGGTCTCGTTTCTGAACTAAAGATAAGCTGCTAATCGATGGTTCGATTTTAGCCGTACGTTATGATTTGCCTTTAATATTTCATTGTGTGTGATACTGCACATACACATATTTAGTGCCAGTAATGAGCAATTGTCATGGTCGCCCATTAGCGATAGAAGTAAAAAGCGGTGCCAAAAGGACTTTTTAACCGTTGGCCGCAAGCTGCATATTACGGCAAGTTACTTTGAGATTGCCTGTCTGATATTTCTTTTAGTACCAGCGGGATGCTGGCAATTGTTTGACAATAGAAGCGAAATCAATTAACCAACAGGAACGCGAATCCTAAGCGAGGTATAACCTAGATGATTTTGTTTGCTGCGTAATTGATTCGATCGGCTTCGCCTATCAATCAATCCATCGATCTACTAAATCATTAGCGATCGATTGATTGAGTTATGTATTGAAATGTAAGCAAAGTGATCACGACGTTGCCGTCTGCCGTATGCTGCAACCACTTGATGGCACTACTTTAGCTACTTTTATTACTAACAACATAGTAGATGTGCTCGGAACTAGTCGAGATCGCCATTTCCCTTACCATCCTGGACGTAGCGTGGTGTTTGCCTCCTTTAACACAACTGTGGTAATTCATATATATGAAATAGCTAGCCTTCAGATTCTTCTATACACGCTCAGCCATAGTCCATATTCCGAAATTTCTAATTATGCGATAAGTATAAGCGCCTCGGATCATACGAATCGCTAACGGTGTTTGTCGAATGACCACGTACTGGATATTGTAGCCTTCGTCTCTATCATGTAAAAACGATTTCTCTAATTATTATTGCTTACAATTACACGTTCTTCCAATTCACTAAGCTTTAAGCATCCGCTTTTCGTGTGTTTGTTACAATTAACCAAACACCCTGTACCCGATGCGTTTCCATCATTTAAACAGTTTGTCATTTTCATTCGTATATATATATATGTATATATACATATATATATATATGTATATGTATATATATATATATATATATATATATATATATATATATACTACTACTAAACGTCTGTATGTCTGCCCTACCACTGAAAAGATTTATCTATTTATGTAATATATAATTAATATGCTGCACGGTCAAAGAAATGGAACGACTGGGTGTTAATCATCGAGGGATGATGTAGATGCTAACAGAATTCTCCGACTTTAATTTGGATAGATTTAGCATTGTATCAATCATTCATATTTTTTTTAAATCATATTCTTATTCGTATAGCTAATTGTGTCTACGGTCATTTTTTTCGAAATTATTAGTTGGCTTGAGTTGTTTCATTTACCCATCCACCTATCTATATATTAGTGAGATCTGATCTGATCATTCAGATACATTGCTGGTGCTGAAGCGTATAAAGCGAGCACGTTACAGGCGTTATGATCTATACAGTACAATAAATTTTGTAGAGTAAACATGAGCAGGGACGCACGTTCCGACTTGCTGAGGCTACTCGAGTCTTTTGCCTATTTCTCTTCTTATGTGTATTTGTTTTCTGATGTTTCCTGATCGGTGTGTCAGTGATATCTGAAACATTCCTTTTTTCTTTGTCTGACTCTTGAACGCCTCGGGAAAAATCTCACGGTGCCTACTGACTTGATGGTTGATTGTCTGATTGATTGATGGACCTGATTACGAGTGATACGGGTTGTAATGGAGCTAGTAAAGCTTATGATAGGTTTGGTGAATTCACTTATTATCCATTTATTTCTATCAAGCATATCAATGCATTTCGAATCGTGTGAATGTGTTTAGTGTGTGTATGTGTGTAGAGCGCCCCCTACACCTATACTCTGTTTGAGCCTATCTATTTATTTCTCTACGTACTGCCATTGTACCGCGTAATAATTTGCCTAGGTATATACACCACGCTTCATGGCAGCGAGCTATGACTGCGTTTGTTGATGATCGCTTTATTATATAAAGTACTTAGCAAACGGGCTGTTTGTCGGTGGCGGGAACATTTGTGTGTGTCGGCGGCTAGGTTGTAATTATTTCTCTATAGTTTGACTCGATGATGGTAGTATGTGATCGATTTTACTTACATCTGCCTTGCCCCCGCTGTGATCTGTTATATCCGTACATAAAAATACAGTATATTGTCTACCTATCTGACTAATGAATAGTACGTTCGACTGAGATTATCAATAATGCGTTTCAATCGAGACATTCTGGTTTCCTCCATGCATTACTGTCTATGTAGCAACGGTAGCGATATATTGTATATAGTGGCATGTTAATCGTCGTAGGCGCCACTACCAGGGGAGTGATTCTTAGACGACCGGCGGCGGACAGGTTTAAAAGCATCTCTGTTCCAGTTCTATTCCCGTCTCCAATCCCATTTAACTGTTCAAGACAAATATGTAATTCAAGTGGATATCAATATATAGTACATATTTTCTTGAAGAGAGGCGTCTTATTAGGCCGGCGATATCAAAAGAAAAGTGTCAGGTCCGATCATAGAAACACCCCTGTTAAGCCAAATGTCCGATGCCCATACGAAAATGTTTCACGTCATTAACCAGCCTAATACAACGAGAGCATAAGAACATAAGTCCAAATGAGCGCGCATAGGGCGGGGTGCGTATTGGTCGCACCCGGCTGCAGAATAATCAACGTTTGCCTGATTGAAAATGTGTACCTTGACTCGGTTACAATATACTTCAACGTATTGCTTACACCTACTAACGATACTAGCATGACCTATTCTCTTCCTGCCCACAACGATATGCCTACTACAGCGGCTAAAATGTATCAATACTGATCTATTAGTTGATTCACTGTGATCATATAGAGTGAATTTGCTGCCGTACCTCTATGTTCACGCTGATCTGTCTTTGTGCCAATATCGATTACGTCGTAGGCTAGATGGAAAAATACCTAGCAAAGGTGAATGTGAACACGGTTGACGATGTGCCTTTGTTTTCTCTCAGTTCTGCGTCCAGTATAGCGTTAAAACAACCCAAAATGATCAATATCTCCTACCAGCTTCAACCATTACAGCGCTGCTGGTAGCAAATAACTGAGGCCAGTTAGTGTATGGGCTTTGAATTTTTTTTTTGTTCTTCTTGCATGTGGCATATCTATTACGGGATAATACACAGCTGAGTTGAAGACGTTCTTTGGGGCGTTCTTCAACTTATTTTCCATGTCTTCTCATAGGCTATCCTTCTGCCGGATCGTATTGATGGGACAAAATGCCAGACATTGCTCTTTTGATGGTCCGCCTTCGCACCGTGGCTTAAACATTGTTGTTTAATTTCACATTCGGTAATACTAATAATAACAACAGCTTTGGGATATACCACCTAAAAACCTGCTACTACTCCGTAGACCTGCTTTTGTGTTTTATGTAATAGTGGTAATTGCTCGTGACGGTCACATCGTTGTTATGACGAGCGTTGATAAACGAGAAAAAAACACTGCTTCGCGATTCGGTAAGCATTCTACATATGTACAATCTATCGCTTGGAATTAAACTGCTAAAACGATTTAGTTTGCTATGGAGGATACCGGTTCTAATGCCTGTTATAAAAAATACATTACATCATGTTTTGAGTTGTAAGGTGCCCATCAGTACAGCTGCTTTGTCAAAGCACTTTGACGAGGTAGGCGTGCTCAGGGGCGTGCTACGTTAGGCGATCTAGTCAAATCGTCCGAGGTGATTATGCTATGCGATTGATTTTCCTGTGTGGAACTATCTGATAGTAAGGTTCTCTATGATGGGCGCTAGTTGCCGGGGATCTTCTTGCTAGATGAAACTATGTGGGACTATGGGGCACCAGCACGCGGTTATGCCGCCACATAGATAATTAACTAATTCTTTATCTGAATGCTAGTTTTAAAGCACCGTTCGCAGCAACTTCTGGTCTGACCTGGCCTTTCCGAAGCGGGGAATCATTCGTTCAAACGTCGCTTTCGATCTTCGAGCAACCGGCCGCTCTTATGAGTTATGAGTTATAGCTTCCAGGACTACTATGCTATTTTTCTATGTCATGTGCCTTTATATGCGTCTTAAACCCTTGCCTTTTTGTATGAGATGTTGTAGATGGGCTATCCAAAACATAGGTGTTGCATATCATCGGTGTCCTACGAATATCTTTAACATGCTATGCTT